GGTATAAATAAAATTGGTAAAGTTCCTTCGGTAATCGCAAAATACCTAAATTTACCTCATGCTGAACAATATACAGGCCACTGTTTTAGGCGGTCATCCGCCACGTTATTAGTAGAAGCTGGAGGCGATTTGCTTACCTTAAAAAAACATGGAGGTTGGAAATCCTCTGCAGTGGCAGAGCATTATATAGAAAACTCAATTACTCAGAAAATTGATGTGGCAAATAAAATTTTATCGCCTCAAAATCAAATTTCCTCAGCCCCTATCGCCACTACTTCTATCATCTCAACTTCCAAGTCAAGAAACACACTAATAGAAAAATCAAATGCTGCAGGTGTAAGTTTTGGAATGGTCACAGGTTCCAATATTACTATTAATAATCATTATTATTCCACATCAGAATGAAAACCAAAAATAATAATCTCAGTATAAGAATTAATTGTTAATTTTATAATATAGGTACTTACTAATTATTCTGAAATTCAATAAAGCTCTTTAAACTAATGGTGCTTAATTTTCTCTGTATGGTCGTAGAAAAAGTATAGTGCAACATGTGCGTGAAGAGTTTTTTACACTCGCGTTGTTTGCGAATTCTACGCTTGTGTAAAAAAGTCGATTTCACGCACTTGTTACACAATATACTATTAATTACTAGATTTACCTGACCATTACATAAGGACACATTGTGAAATTAATTTAAGGCTAGTAGATGAAGCAATATTGTGAAATTAATTTAAGGCATTCAAGACGCAGATACCTAAAAGAAGTATCTATGGTATAAATGAGGATAACATTGAAAGTATGTTTAGTTTGATCTTCCTCTTGAAGACGATCACTTGGTGATCGAAACACGTGTCGAGGTGTTAAAATAACGTTTTGGTGTTGGGAAAAACTCCAGTAATAATAATTCAAAAATAAGTTGAAAGGCTATATCACATCGACCTCGAGGATTGATATACATCTACAAATCTAAAACCCCTCCATGATATAGCACTTCGGCCAACAGTAAAGTCTTTTCTGGTTATAAAACCCATTCCATGATATATAGATACTTTCTGGGATATATTGCATTGTCCATGCATGTGTACTCTTCCATACACTATTTATATTTTTCATTTTTACCTCAACAGCTTCTCTGGTTTTTTATGTATGCTTATGTATCATATCTACACTTATTTCCCTGCATCTTTTCAACCTAGACAAAAATTTGATTTCTTTTAGGTTTCTCCACTTTATTATACATTATTTAGTTTAGTTTATGATATTTCTTTCTTTTTGTGCAATAAATCATTTATTTATTTATTTATAATGATAGACAGAAGTCTATGAGAGAAGTATCAAGACAGAAGAAACAATAAAAGTAGTAAAGACGCTGTAATACTCTGTGGAATTTATCACACAGGTGAAAACAATTTCAGTTCGATTCTATTCAAAAACTGAAATTCAAACCGTTACTTTGAATAAAGAACTTTCAACTTCGTATACACTCAACTAAATGATAGGAATTCAATTTTTTCTCAATGGGCTGATTCATACAAAACAAGCACACAAGCCGAGAAAATTATTGCATTTGTGGTGATGGCAAAAGTGCTTGTTTTGGATTTATTATTCGCCAGAGGTTCCAGTTTTACCTTTTATCAGGCTGTTTTATGTAGCTGTGATTTTTCTCATTTTCATAAATTCGAACTGATATATGTATGTATTAACGATGATGATTCCGTTCACAAAAATCCCATCTATGGGATGAGAAAACCTAATCACATAAACAGCAGTCCTTTGTGAAGTCATAGTATTACATTGACTAAGAAATCGCTTTTGGTCTCTTTCTCAAGTTTTCACTGCAAGCTAGAATGATAGAGCTGATCGCCTTATTCATTTCCAGTTCACCAAACTCATTTTCCTGACAATACATTTTTTTCCGACATAACAAAAGCGAAATTCATGCTTCGTCGAGTGACAAATTAATCGTAGGCGATAGGCGATAAGTAACAACAGGATACATAGATATTGAAATAATTTACCTGTCATTTCCCAAAAGTACATTTCAAACAGAGAAATAAGTGGAAGGTTTTAATTACGTACGCAACGAAGATGACATTTACTAATCCGGAAAAATTGTATTATCGTACATAATAGGAGAAAATCATAATCAAAACATTTCGATAGAAGAAATACATTGAAATGTAAAAACTTAGGGTATAGGAAGAAATGAAAAACTCAGATCTGAATCATAGAAAGATGATTAAAAAAAGATTATGATATTTCAGTCAGTTTTTATTTAATTGAATAGAACTAGGCGAAACTTGATGGAAATCCATATTAAAACTCATTGATACAGTTTATTGTATGATTTTCACTATATAGCGAAACACGTGTCGCGGTTTTTGTAAAATCCTCTGTAGTGAAAAGCGTATAATGAACTGTATAAATGAGTTTTTATTCATTCCATGACCATTTTTCAAGGAGTGTTGAGCGACACTAAATATTTCTGATCTTCAAAATTGGATATGTGCAGCGTGCCTTTGAAACGAGTTTTCATGGATTTCTTGGTCTGACCAATATATTTTTTTTCACAATCCTCACAGCTCATTTCACATATCCTCGATTTTTCATTTTTCAACATTTCGTTTTTGGGATACCTTACATTTGATGGAGTGAGCAAGAAGTTTTGAAAACTACCTTCACGTTCAACTTTTTGAAAATACGATCTGATTCGTTATTGTACCTCATTTCATATCGAAGAACAATAGACTTTGAATCAAGATCTTTTTGGAAAGTAGAAGATTCACAAATATTCTCCCTGAATTACTGTTTCACAATTAACGTATATCTACAATATCTGAAGAATACACATTGCTCAATATCTCACCTTCCTCTACTCTGTGGAAAAGTAAAAAGCCTATGGACAGAAAGTTTAGAACTGCTATTTTGTGTTATAGAAAATGGTGTGAGGTTTCAGGAATATATCTGAAGCTACTGGTTATATATAATCACTTAGATATCCAAGAAGGGTAACTCCTCGTTGTTTTCAATTTCATCTGTAAACTCAATATTTGGGGTTCTGTTGTAAAAAGTAGAAACAAAGTTCTCAACCTTTGATTTCTTTCTATCAAGAATCAGGAATACGAAAATACATCGTCTATATATCGGATACAAGTCGCTTTGATGAACCAAAGAATAAATAAAAAATTCTTACCGAAATCATTAGTGTGTATAGCACTCTATAAGAATTTCCGAAAACTTCTACAAGGAAATTTCACGCAAATTTTTACTCGAAACCAGTGATGTTTATCGGAAAGAGATGAGTTCAATAAATAACTCAAAATCAACAAGCAAACTGCAGTAAACAGCGGATTTGAAGCTGGATTGATGAACAAAATACTTTCCAAAAAAAGTCTACGCAAAAGCGATTCGAGACGTTTATTCTATTGATGACTTAGATAATAAAAATCGAAATTATAGAGCTTTGACATATTTTGAACAAACGAAAGAAAAAGTGTCTTCATTTCTGAATAACCGAGATGTTGAAATTGAATATAGAAGGGAGACTGGGTACGGTTGAAACAAATTGGCTTTTACCGTTTATATTTTTATTGTTAATAAACATTTAGATACGAATATCTAAAGAAATTGAATGAAATCCAATACAATTTTACAGAAGCACAATGAAATCTGTTTCAAATACAAAACTTTCAACTTTTATGAGTGAAAAAGTTATCAATTTACAGCCAGTTTCCAAGTATGCCCATTCAATTTGTGAAGTTTTCTTCCTTATAAGAGGAATCGAACAAATTTCGAGAATGCGGTTGGTTACCTCGTTCACAGGCAGATGGGGCGATGACAAACCTGTTGTTTGTTGTTCGCTTCAGCCTAGTTGGAGAAATGACACTCTGAACGAATTTGATTTTCAATTATCGTAAATACTCGACTTTATGTTCGTGATATACACTACCTTGCTCTGACGAGTGGCCAAACAGCCCGAAACTGGTACGCAAGTGTGTTCCAATAATTGAAAATGTACTGCGGCAGTTGTATTGCCAATAGCATATGCAGGAATGGTTTCTGTGAAGAATCCTGCACTGATACATGTCGGATATAATCCAACGCCCTTCGTGTTATTAGCCAGGGAAATAGTTGTTTTCTGATAGGTGTCAGTCCATTAACCATTTACACTTCAAAATGTTCAATTTGTGTTTATTTAAAAAGAAAGTATTATTTTCTATTCTTCTTCTCTCTTATAAACCCTAAGCATCTACACACCAACAAACAGAGGGGGCGATGGCATATATGTTGCTTGCTTCAAATTTAGTCGAGGTATGATATTCTTAGCCAATTTGATTCATAATTATGGAAAATAATCGACTCCGTGTTGATGTAAGACACTACTTTGCACTGACGAGAGGCCAGATAGCCCGAGACCGGTCTGCAAGTGTCCAATAATTGAAAATCGTCAAAAGCATATGCAGCAATTTCTTCTGTGGAAAATCCTACACTGACACTTGTCGGATATAATCCAACGCCCTTCGTGGTATTAGCCAGGGGAGCATTTGTTTTCTGATATGTGTCAGTCCATGAACCAAAGGAAGACTGGCCTTACTGAATTATTCCTTCAGATGATTTGATACACCCTTATCCGTTTCTATTTGAAAATGAAATTGTATAACAAGTTCCCTGAAATCCCTTCAAATATATTTCAATATTTCATGTGAAAGTACTGAAATGTTGAAGAAATAAAAAATTTTCAATGGTTATAATATTACCTCACAAGTCATCAGTTGCTTTACAAGCGGATTCTCATATTTTATGGTTTCAAACTCTTCTTTCGTCAACATGTAACCTCTCTTTATGTCTGTATCCTCATCAGCCTCTAGATATTTCTCAATAGGAACGCAGAGTATATTGTCTTGTCCTCTGAAAATATGACCCTTTTCTATAGAAAGGCCGGACTCTGGATCCGGAGTATCATCCCAATAGAGGTAGGTCGGAATCTTCACTTGTGGTATCTTGATCTATAATTGGATTATATTAGTAATTTTCTCTGAAATTGAATCGTAATGTGGAATGAATTTTTCAAATGAGATATTCAAATTGAAGATGGTTGACACCCAGAAGCGACTGTCATAGTTGCAGATAGCTAGTTTGGTTATCGAATACTTCGAGCATTAATACCTAGTTTCCAACGTATTATTGGAAATGTTCTATAAAACAAGTAACTGTGTCTACTCCCAATGAAATCAGGATTGTTTCAACCAACTGAGTTTTGTTATGAGTGAATGTTTTAAACTCATCATGCTTCCACTACATTTCATTTTCTCATAAACAGATCAGGTAAGTGAGCAAATGAAAAATCAAAAGACTCACATATCAATCTGTTCGCTAATGTTCGATTTGCAGTAAAGGAAAATTTCATGACCTCACCTTAGCTCTTCTTTCCGCTATCAAACGGTTACAGAAGTCTTCTATCAGCATCACGGGATGTTGCGCCATCTCTGGTGGAGCTTGACTCAAAGGAATCCTTCCATTGAGTACAAGGTTCTTGACTCTCTCCAGTTCTTCTACCTTGAATGAAAGAGTGACTTTTTTCATAACTTATGTATATGTACTGTAGTACTATGAAGATTTTCATTGTCTCATGTTTTACAATTTTCTTTGTTGGCACACTTTTGCATAGTTCTTTGTTGTAGCTCTATTCATATTTTTTTTAATGTATTTGTGTGGCAGAGCTATTCTTCAGGTTTGCTGGTCATGATCTGCAGGTTTTTACGCCTGGCGTTTCGTTTAGGACTAGGATAGACATCATCAAACGACGTAGTGCTCAGGTTGTTTTCACACCTGATACTATAGTATTAGTTCAGATCTTAGTTTCATTCTATTGTTGATAGCTTGGCTCCACTCCTGTTAGAAGAATTGAATGACGTTATACATGTGCAAGGAGATGCAGGTAGCCAAACCTCTTTTTTTTTGTTGAATTCGTTTTTTTGTCTTGAACAGTGCGTATGACTTCTATGCATTTAGATCCACAGCACTGAGGGATTTAGTGAACTTCCGGGGTTGCTAAAGACATTCTGGGGCTATGAGTTGACCTCAGACTCTATCTGATGGTCTCTGTTAGTATCGTCTGTAACATTCTTCACATAGGGTAGGAAAATGTTTCCATTGTTATGTTTATTTGGAGTTGCTTTTACATTTTCTTTCCTAGGTTAATTAATTTCAAACGCATATCAGGGCATTCAATCGAAGTCACTCTCCTACTAATGGAATGAAACCGTAGATCTAATTCAATACTGTAATATCTGCTGTGAGGATTACCCGAGCATTTCGTCCGTCACTCATTGCATTTGATGATGCACTACAGTTTTAGACGAAACGTTAGACATAAAATTCTGCAGATCAACAATCCCGGAAAATAGTTTGATATACTGTTGGAAATAGTTTGTTCCATTCATTACACTTGAATTTATTCCACTGCAATACCTACATAGTTGTTTGTAATGAGTAGTTACAATAAAAAATAAATTTTTAGCCAAAAAAAGGTTCATAACAGATACATGAGGGAGTACGGAATCCTGGAAAAAAAATCAGCAATCAATAGAAATAAGATTGCAGAATTGTTTGTATTTGAAGTTTTAGTACTGTTACCGTGTATGTACGTATTCTATAGTCTGGTCAGGAAACTTGATTTTTTATGTATTTCCATGAGTTACGTAATAAAAAACGTTATTTTGAATTTTTTGGATAGTTTAGTACCGAAGATCTCTAAAACTCAAACAGCTTTGATTCTGTCCACAAGTAAACATATACATCCTTTCAGAAAGAGCTCACCATGTCTGGCCTTTATTTATATAGTATACTAGCCAATTACAAGAATTTAATATGCAACCATTGAAAGACCGCCGTGAGTCCTCGGAAGTGATTTTTGTTTTTAACATTCTTAGAAAACTGAAAGTACCTGAAATTCTCTATACTATTAATTTGATTGTACCTGATGTAAGACTGAGAAGAAGAGACAATCTATTTCGTGTCTCAAACAATTTGTCTCCTCTCCAACAATGTCTCGGAACTGTTAACAAAATGGTGACGAACTGTGAACTGGATATATGCAGTATTACAAAGGAACAACTCCTTCGAATGCTCAGATGTGTCTGAATTTTTTACGGTCATTTTATTATTTATTGTTATATTTTATATGAATACTATATGTAAGGAACTTTAAAAAAACTGTGCATCATGTAAGTGGAAACCATTCTGTTTGTTGTTCAGTATAAATTAATTTCTATTCTATTCTAACTTTGGCATCGGCCAGTGAATCAGATATCGTTTTCTGTCTATCTCTGCAACTTTCTCTGCAAAGCAACTGGATTAAATTCGAATCCGAGATGTAATACCAGATAGTGATGTTCCGACTTGCTCTGTGGTATTAGGTTGAATCACAAATGTGAAGAAGACATTATTACCACCATCCTTATGAACATCAACAGATCAACAGATAAATCTGCCTCGGGGAAAAAGTGGAAAAATTGATGGTTTTATCATCCTCTGCGCTAGATTTATTTAGAATTCAGTATGAAACTAAAATCACTTATTAGAATATAACTTACACACTATAGTGTTTCTGCTAACAAAATGTACTCTGTTGAAGCAAATAAATTTCTGATTGGAACCAAATTTTGGAATCCTACTAGTGGGGGGTATGGTGTGAATGGAAAATTGAGGAGTTCACCATCAAGATCACAAACCTACCAGAAAATGTAACTACTGATTTTGGCTCTGAATGAGTTCATGAGATTGATACTTTGTTGAAGATATCATTGCAGTGCCAGTGAAACGATTCTGCTGGGGTCACAAAAAAAAACCTTTATATCACAAATTATGGTTTATTTGGCATCTGATGATGTAACATTATGCAACTGTTCATTTGGTATAATTGTAAGTTTGTCTTGGTGGCGATGGTATAGCTGTGTATGACTTGACTTGAATAAAAGAGAAGCAAAACTCAAAACGAGATTCAGATAGACAAACGTTTCGATAAAAAATTTTTACAGGAGATAATAATGAGATAGTGAAAATGTTAAAAATAGTTTAGTTAAAAACCATGTAGGGAGTTAAGATATCAACAAGTATAAAAAAGTCGAACGACGTGTGCCAAATGAACATCTTTGAATCTAAACATCAAGAATATATTGAAAAACTATCAAAAAGATGAGTACAAAAATTACCTGAAGGACTGAAATGAAACTTTTGGAAACAATGGAGAAACAATGAAGTCAAATTGAAGAATATTTGTAGCAAACCCGAAACAGTAACGTATGGAGTACCTCAAGGAACCATGCTAGGACCAATCCTGTTCAACATTTATTTACAAAAGTGCTCGGCTAAATTTTCTAGTGCATCGCCTTTTGACTTCTCCTCTCACACATGAGAGTTTCACAAAAGAAAAACGTACAATAAAGAAAATAGCAGCTACTATTAGTTTCTCGAAGGGTAGTAGATGATATAATGAGGAAGAAAAAGTTTAGATTGAGAATGAACGAAATCTCGACTTTTGAAAACGATGAAAACCAAGATGAATATATCTCAATTCCATACCACTAATACACTAA